TATACTGTTACAGACTGGATGTACAGGTCATGTGTAGACCTAAACTCACCTGAAGGACCTGAAATATACTGTTACAGACTGGATGTACAGGTCATGTGTAGACCTAAACTCACCTGAAGGACCTGAAATATACTGTTACAGACTGGATGTACAGGTCATGTGTAGACCTAAGCTCACCTGAAGGACCTGAAATATACTGTTACAGACTAGATGTACAGGTCATGTGTAGACCTAAACTCACCCAAAGGACCTGAAATATACTGTTACAGACTGGATATACAGGTCATGTGTAGACCTAAACTCATCTGAAGGACCTGAAATATACTGTTACAGACTACATGTACAGGTCATGCGTAGACCTAAACTCACCCAAAGGGCCTGAAATATATTGTTACAGACTGGATATACAGGTCATGTGTAGACCTAAACTCACCTGAAGGACCTGAAATATACTGTTACAGACTGGATGTACAGGTCATGTGTAGACCTAAACTCACCTTAAGGACCTGAAATATATTGTTACAGTTTGCTTAAGATAACAAAAGTGGAATGTTGTAATAAATTTAAAGTTTTTACTTCCTTAAATACAAGAGAAAACTTAAATATTTGAAACACATTTTTTAAAAATCTCAGCCTACAAATCTGAACACCACATTCCTGGAACCAATGACTGGACATCAAATTCAACAGTACAACAAAGTTGTTGTTTTGCATGATTTTCAGATGCGTGCTACCATCAACTTGATAATCAAAGTGGCAGAAAATATACAATAAAAGTATATCATCTTCACACAAATGATCTGAAAAGTCCAACAGCCTCTTGACTATCAGAATGATGGCACAAGTTGCAGTTTACTCTAAGATTTGCTGTGGAAAGGTAATTCAAAAACTTGTTATTCACGAAAACACCGTTTTAACATAAATAACATACAGCATGACACAAACATACAATTAAAAAATTAACTTATTAAACGTGATCAAGAACAAAGTCCATAACTGTTCTAGGTTAAGACACTCTTGTAGTGTACAGTGGTAACTTTGACGAAAAATCTTTCTTTTGAACTGCCGAGTCTATGCGTAGATTATTGCCTACAGTGACAGCCAATTTCATGATTCGAAGAGCTTCCTTTAGGCTTCTATTCAAACAACTAATACAAAAAAAAGAAAAAATTAAAATACAAAAAAACACTCGTTTCTGTAGCAGTTACCAATAATTTTAGAAACATAATTAAAATACAATTACATTCTTAACCAGTACGACTTCAACATCTGCACGTGAATAGAGAAAGCAAACTAAAGACAGTGATGGAACACTGAAAGCATTTAATATTAGCCTGGTATATATATATTAAGCTAAGGACAATAAAGGACCGATTGGTCCATCTAGGCCATTCCACCTACTAAACTCAATTCTAAAATAAAAACTCTCTAAGCCAGTCCTTATCATTCAAGCATTTATCACGTCTTCCTTAACCTATTCCCTCAAATTAACTGCATCTGATGGAATCCCATTCCAAAGGCCAACAACCCTGTTGGAAAAATAAAGCTGTCTTAGCCAAAAATGACCCCTACCCTGCCAAAATTTATACTTGCGTCCCCAAGTCTCACCATTAAGTACAAAGAATGCATCAACACTAATCTGTTTCGTTAATAATTTTAAACAGTTTCAGAGATTTTAACCTATCCTTGTGCGACAACCTTTCCATCCCAGGAAGACAAGAGTTTTCTCTATGATAGTAATAAAATCCACAATTGTCGATTCTCACTTTTCCTTAAAATAATTAAAATAGTGTTGGAAGAAAACCAGAACATTCACAATACAAGAGCTAAAATTTTATTATTAATACTTTGTTAATATATTAAGAAAACTCAAATGTGAAATATGAAGGAAGTGCAGGGGGGTGACAAGTGGCGTACAATCATGACGTTTACCTTAGTGTGACAAGTGGCGTACAATCATGACGTTTACCTCAGTGTGACAAGTGGCGTACAATCATGACGTTTACCTCAGTGTGACAAGTGGCGTACAATCATGACGTTTACCTCAGTGTGACAAGTGAGGTGCAATCATGACGTTTACCTCAGTGTGACAAGTGAGGTGCAATCATGACGTTTACCTCAGTGTGACAAGTGAGGTGCAATCATGACGTTTACCTCAGTGTGACAAGTGAGGTGCAATCATGACGTTTACCTCAGTGTG